TCGCCGGAGGGAGGGGTAAATAGCCAGCACGACACCTCTTCAACACGAGTGTGCCGTGCTATAAAAACATCTACACTCTGTGGCGAGTGTGTTATCAGGGTGCTTACACACGTGCATGGCTCGGCAGGCGCCTGGGTTCAAACCCTAGCAACAGCAAAACTCCCGGATCTTGATAATATAAATTCGGGAGCGGGGCGGGGCAGCGGGGCAGCGTGGGCGCGTGGCCCGCGCTCGTGTGCGGCGGCCTTGGCCTTGGCGCTTGCACGTACACGCTCGTGGTGGCACTTGCTTTTTTTGCCACGTGTCACCTTCTGCAGGCGCCCACTTTTTCCCTTCTTTTTCGCTGGAAAGCATGCGAAAAACAGCGAAAAAAACCGATGTTGGGTTTTGCTGTTTTCCCAGCTGTACGGGGTGGTGGGTGGGAGCGGGGAACGTTCCCGCTCCGGTACCAATGCAGCGGACCCACCAGGTGTGGTGCTCCGCTACTGATAGAGATGGAGATGGAGGAAGAAGGGGGGAGCAAGATGCACAGCCCAGCTCCCACGCAAAACTCCAACGATTGCCCTCTCAAAATCGTGCAAGTGTAGAATGATGATGAAAACAGACAACTGCTGGGGTATACCCCAGCGGACCGACGGGACTGGACTGGACTGGCTGGTACCGACAGAGGTATCGGCCTGGACTGGACTGGACTGCCCCCGAATAGAACACAGGCCTTTGAGAACAGGCCAAGGGGCTGGTCTCACAGGCCAACCAACCAGAGATCCGGTACACGATCCTCGGCCTGTGATGGATCGCCTAGATACAAACACGCTTCCGCCAAGAAGCAGAACTCTACCAAAGAAAACAAACCTGAGTAGTCTAGGATGCGGAGCAAGCTCCATGCTGAGTCCATGCGATGCAACCTAGGATATAAAATGTCACAAAACAGCAATGTCACAGCTAACAGCCTAAGTAAAAGCAGAAGCAACTAACTAGCATACATGTCCTAGGAAAGCAGAAGCAACTAACTAGCATATATGTCCTAGGAAAGCAGAAAGTAGTGACAACTAGATCCTTTAATGTTGGAGGCAGTAGCCTTAGTCTGGGAACAACTGACTAGTGTATAAGTCATAAGAACAGCAAAAGCACAACAGCTAAATCCTAGAAATGTTAGAGGCAGTAGCCTCAGTCTGAGAGCAACAAAGCAACAACAAGAGAACCATTTGTGACATGAGAAATGTGTCGGAAACCAAAGGGTGGGATGGTCTCTGAGGGTGGCGAATGCAACCTAGAGGCACAAGAGGTTAACGGGGCATCTGGTTTTCAAGCCAGAAATTTCTAAAATCAGGGTTTTTGGCTCAAATTTCATGTTTTTTTGAAATTTCAAGTTTTTGCTGTATATGCATTTTGATAGGGTTGCCGTATATGAAATTTGGGGTTATTTGGAGTTTTAGAATTTGCGCTATTAAGATTTCTGAAATTTCTGAAATTGGTCGAGTTTTTTTTGGGCCAAATTTCATGGAAATGCACCTTTGGCTTGCTGTTTTATATGTTTTTAATTCCTTTTCTTAGGGTTTTTTTCTGTGATGGGGTCGTAAGAAGTGCACTGTATAGATTGGTGTGAAGTCTTGTTAAAGTGACTGTCTGGTTTTCTTATAAATGGGCCTGAAAAATGGGTGCTCGGTTAACCTGCTCTCCCTAGAGGGCGAAAACTCCTAAGGGCATCCACACAGAGTGACAGGGGGAACACATGTCATCAGGCTCAATGTGGGTAGGGAACTAGGAGTGAACATAACCAATGACCCTAACAAATAAATCATCAGGGCGAGTAATGCTCGACTAAGGGGTGACCGCTATGGAGGGTCGACCATGCAAGGGAACAAGGGACCCTGGTATACTGGGCGCACGTAGATGAAGCATGCGGGGCTGCCTACTAGGGCGTGAGGGCCAGCAGAGGGTAGAAAGGTGATGGGTAAGGGAATCATGCAAATGACTCCTAAAGTGAGGGAAGTCGGAGCTAGATCCGTAATATGGGAAGCTAGGGCAACACTACGGTCCCGATGCCTATGCGTATACCAAGGGAGAGCCCAACTCAGAGGAACCCGGCAAAAGGGAGACCATCATGCCACACAAGCAGGGTACTGTACAGGGTAAAGTGGGAAGGGGGTGATGACGTCTAAAGTAGGCAGAGCTGATCGTGACGAAGACCATGAAGCTGCCCATGACGTCCGCGATGAGAAGTTCGGAATGCTGTCGAGGAAGAGCCGCAACGTCGACGAGCTGAAGTAACAAAACTGGAGTGAATGGAGTACTGAGAAGTCAAGGACGTGGGAAGGTAAGTCAGAGTCAATCGCAGTATCGAGCAGGACGACGACGAGTGCGTTGTGGACGCTCAGAAGCATCTGGCTGCTGCTGAAGGTCCGCCTCAGATGGAGCAGGCTCGACTTCAGCGGTCTCCTTAGTCGGGGGGGAAGGCGGAGGGTCAGTGGGCTGAGGAGGAGCAGTGAACCCAGCACGACGAGCACGGTCATAGGCACGCACCAACATGCGAGCGTGCTGCAAGTGCTCGAGGGGCTCCCAGGTAGCCTCCTCATCAGGGTAACCCTTCCAACGTACGAGATACTCGACGTGGGGAGGGTTGTCGTCGGTGACTCGGTGACTAATGATGTTTGAAACGAGGAACTCCTCGTGGTCGTCCACCATGATGGGTGGAGGGCGCTCGTATGGTCGTCCAGCGAAACGCTCAGACGGTTTGCGGTAAGGACGTAGTAACGAGACGTGGTAGACATCGTGCACACGAGCCTGGCGTAGGTAGTTGGGAAGGTTCACACGGAAGCTGACCGGGTTAGATGTCGTATCAGAACCAACGGCCTGGAGGATGCGGCATGGGCCAAAGAAGCGACGCCGAAACTTGCGAAGCGTGTCCGCTTCGAGCTGTAAGTGGCGGGCGTCGATAAGCACAGACTTTAAATGGATGGTCCATCCTCAATCGGTTCGCAAGTGCTGCCATGCGAGTCTGGGAAGCGGCTATGTGCTCATGTGCGGTCTTCATGATTGACGTCATGTGTGCAACCCAATCATCCAGTGCAGGACAACTCGTGTCGGGGTGCATCTGTGACGGTCGAAGGAAGTCCGCGGGAACACGAGGGTGATAGTCGAGGTCGCAATAGTAAGGCGACATCCCCGTGGTTGGCGAGACGGCGTGGTTGTAGGCTATCTCCGCGTGGGCAAGATGGAGGTCCCACTGCTGGTCGTCACGAACAATCTTTCGGAGTATATCTCCGAGAGTCCTATTTGTGATCTCGGTCTGACTATCAATCTTAGGATGGTAAGACGAGGAGAAGCGGAGCTGGGTGCTCTACACCTCGTGGAGCGGTCGCCAGAATCGGTTGGTAAAGCGCGGGTCACGGTCGGATATGATGCTCAGAGGTAAGCCGTGGTCACGCACGACTCAGTCAAACACGATGTCGGCGACCTCACGTGCACTGATGGCATAGCGACACGGAACAAAGCGTACACGCTTCGTGAAGCCGTCGACGACGACCAGGATAGCATCATGATCGCGAGGGGTCGGAGGACGAAGGGGACCGATAAAGTCCATCGAGATAGACTGCCAACGATCCTCAAGGATAGGAAGAGGCTGGAGCAAACTATAAGGAAGGTGGTTCGCACTGTTCACCTCCTGACAGGTGGGATACTCTGCGACGTAGTCCTTCACAAAGTCCTTGCGCTTCGGCCAGACGTACAGGCGGCTCACACGAGCCAACGTCTTGTGGAAGYCCATATGACCGGCRGCTGCCTSGTCATGGAACTCTSCTACTKCTCGGACACGYAGCTGTCCAGTGGAGGGAACACAAATACGGGGCTCTMTGGTGCCMTGTGAACCGTGCCAGTACACAAGAMCGTTGTCCCCGAGAGAGTAGTTTGGGACGGTCTTGTCACTCCGAAGGGTCGCGTGGATGTCGCGATAGTCGGGGCAGTGGCGGTACTGAGTGCGAAACTCGTCGATCACTGAGTGATGAACAGTGGTGACCGAGATGGAAGAGAGTTGGATCTGCTCCTGGTCGTGGTCAGGGCGCCGGGATAAGGCATTTGTGACCCGATTAGTCTCACCCTTGATGTGCTCAGTGGTGAAACTAAACTCGGATAGGTCGTGCCACCAGCGAACCTGTCGAGGAGTGAGTTTCGGCTTTGTCAGAAAAACCTGGACAATAGAGTTGTCCGTACTCACCGTGAACGGTGCCCCGTGCAGGTAGTGACGCCAGTGCCAAGCGGCATAAACTACTGCGAGAACCTCACGTTCATCAGCGGTGTAGTTTATCTCGGCGGGCAGGAGCTGACGGAAGTAGAAGGCTATCGGACAATCACCTGAGCGAGGCTCAACAGTGCCGTCCTCGACGATTGTAGGAGAATAGTGAATAGAAGGCTCGTCAGTAGCTGGATGAGTAGGCGTCAGTCGGGAAGCAGTGGTAGGGGTAGGTGGTGGGAAGCGAGGTCGGACAATCACCTGAGCGAGACTCAACAGTGTCGTCCTCGGCGATGGTAGGAGAATAGTCAATAGAAGGCTCGTTAGTAGCTGGATGAGTAGGCGTCAGTTGGGAAGCAGTGGTAGGGGTAGGTGGTGGGAAGCGAGGATACGAGGATGAGAGGAATCAGGAGAGGAGGGGAAGACCTGAGAAAGCACTGCTCCTACAGCAAAGTCTGACGCATCGGTGGTAAGGATAAAAGGGCGGTCAAAATCGGGTAGGTGAAGAACCGGTGTGCATGTCACCGCCTTCTTGAGGGCGCGGAAGGCGTCCTCGTGGAGGGGTGTCCAAGCCGAGGGTGGGTTCTTCTGGAGGAGGGTGGAGGTAAGGACGTAAGAATACCTAACCTTTCCTTGGATGAAATTACTATAGTAGCTGGTCAGGCCTAGGAAACTGTGAAGCTGCTTGGCGGATGTGGGAGCGGGCCACTCCTCAATAAAAGTGATCTTCGCGTCGTCCATGTGGAGACCCTGGTCAGACACGTAGTGTCGTAAGAAATCCACTTTGTGCTGGGCAAAGTGGCACTTGCTCAGCTTGGCATAAAAGCCATGTCTGCGCAAGCGGTCAAGGACGTCACGGAGGTGTCTGAGGTGCTCCTCAAGGGTACGACTGTAGACCAGGATATTGTCGACGTAGACGAGAACGTACTGCTCCAGGATGTCCCTGAAGATGTCGTTCATCGCCCTTTGGAAGGTAGCGGGTGCGTTGGTGAGGCCGAATGGCATCCACGTAAACTCGTAGTGGCCGAAGCGTGATCGGAACTCGGTCTTCGGCTGGTCGGCTGCAGCGACGCGGATCTGATGGTAACCGCTACGAAGATCAATCTTCGTAAAGAAGGGGTTGCCTGCGAGGCGGTCGAACAGCTCATCGGAACGAGGCATGGGGTAGTTGTTCTTAACCGTGTGGCGGTTGAGATCACGGTAGTCGATGCAGAGACGAAGKGTTCCATCCGCTTTGCGAGCAAAGAGGACGGGTGCACCCCACGGGGAGTTGCTGGGTTTAATGAAACCCAGTCTCATGAGCTCCTCAAGCAGACGCTTGAGTTCGGTGGCCTCGGGGATCGAGAGTCTGTAGGGTGCCTGGTGGTGAACACAGTAATCAGGCACAAGCTGGATCGAGTGTCGACATCGCGCATCGGTGGGATGCCGTTGTACGAGAATGACGATGGAAAAACGCCGTGGTACTCTCGAATGAGGTCACGGACTGCGGGCTCCAGGTCAGCCATATATCGTGCGAGTTCCTCAACGTCAGCATCAGCGCTCGACGGCGGGGTGGACTCGACGGACGGCGGAGGGATGGAAGTAGAGATGGGAGCCATGGCGATGGAAGGAGGATTTGGCTCCAGAGGGATGAGCTCGGCGTCGGGACAGGGTAGATCATAGTGTAAGAGATCCGTCACATTCACCAGAAAGAAGGTGACGTCATCCTGTCGGATGAAGTAGGCAAACTCTGGAGGCGCAGAAGGCTCTGGGGGAGGAGGATCGGGGCATGATGTCGCAGTGGTACCTATGAAAGGTACGCGATACGTCTGTCCACACTTCGTTTTGAGAACGAGAGTGTTGGTCGCCCAATCGGCCTCGGTGCTGGGGAACCGACGAGACCACGGAGTGCCAAGAATGAAGTCGTACCCCGTCTCCATCACATCGAAATGTGCAGAGGAGCGGTGGCAACGAGACACCGGGGGACGATCAGTCGGCTCGAGAGTGATCGTCTGATCGAAGAAGTGTTGGGTCTTGTCATCCCCTAGGGTAACGGAGATGGGAGTCTTAGACCTTCTCATGGGAAAGCGGGCTTCTTTCACCACACGTGGGTAAATGAAGTCGACTTGAGAATCAGAATCCCACAACGCTGAGTACACCCTCGTGGAGGTCCCGAGCCGTACTGGGATGATCGGGAGGGTGCGATCAGGGTCAGAGACGATGGCGAGAAGGCGACGCAGTGCAGCGACATGGAGGGTGAGTCGCTCTTGACGAGCCTGGAGCATGCTCAAGTCCAGAAGAGAGGACGCAACGTCCTCGCAGATAGCGAGCTACTCGCTGCAACGGGCTGAGCGAATGGCTCGACACGTCGGTAGTCACGGCGGGGAAGGAGGGGAGACGGCGGTCTGCGGAGGCGCAGGCGTTACTGCGACAGAGGGCTGAGTACACTCTGTTGAGTCCTGCAATACCTCAGCTCCGGTAGCGAGAGGGGCGAACCGCGACGGTGATGTCGGGAAGCCCACTCCTGAGGAGGGCGCAGGTGTACACTGCACCGTGGTTAGGAGGCGCCGCGGGGATGAGAGGCGCCGGGGGGGGACTGAGCACGACGATGGTGGGAAAGGTCAGCGTAGTGGCGGTCAAGGGCAGTGGTATAAGGGCACCGCAAGGAGGTATGACCGTCCTGACGGCATCGCAAACAGCCACGCCGGCCCAAAATAGTCGCGCGCTCCTCAGCGGAAAGGACACCTCGAGGAGGAACAAAGTCCTGGGGGAGGTCCTGTTGAGAGACCTCGGGGGGCGACGCGCCAGCGTGACCAGGGCGGTTGCGTGCTTGGAAAAGGGTGGAGAGGATGAGCTGGAGGCGCTTAGCCATAGGGAGAGTAGGGTCCTCCAGGTCGTGGTGGACGGCTTCGCCGAGGTCGAGGTCGTCGCTATGGTCACCGTCTGGCGACAGCGGGGCACCAACGTCCTGCTCACCATACTTGAGCGAGCTGAAGTGGCGCGAGAAGTGGCGGCCCTGCCGCGCGAAACGGCGGGGGCGACCGCGGAAAAGGGAATGGCGCTAGGAAGTGTCGTGAGAGGAGGTGGCGTAGCCCGTGCGCTGAGGGTGGGAGGAGGAGGCGGGGTGAAGACGGGCCCACATCCGCTGATGGTCCCTGGCGGCCTCGTAAGCCTGCGGGGCCGATGTGAACTCGTACCACCATAGCTCGGAGCGGTACAAGAGCAAAAGGCTGGCCAAGAAACAATCGATAAGGGCCGCCTCGGGGAGGAACGCCATGTCACAAATGAGGCGGGCGTCCTGAAAGACCTGGATGTGGCGATCCAGGCCGGCAGCGCCACCAGAGCCAGACCAGCGTGTAGTGACGACACGCTCGAAGGCGTCAGTCACATCATATCGAACTCCGAAGTGATCCTCGAGTAACGCCTGGAAATCCATGAAGGTCGGAGTCCGACCCGCACGAACGGAGTAAGTGTAGAAATCCTCCCAGGCATCCGAAGGACCGCCACGCAGGCGATTGGAGAGGTGAGTCACCCACGTGTCGGGTGGGACACCCATGAGCTGGAGCGTGCGGGTGGCAGACTGCAGCCACCGAGACACGCGTATGCTTGTACCGTCATACAAGGCAATGTCCGTCAAGCGGACGAGTTGTGCGCCACTGTTTTGGCGGCGAGGAGAATGGAAAGCTGGGGACTGCGCTACGGCTGAATAAGTCGGCGTATATCCTGGAGGAGGGGGCGCAACTGACTGTACGCCCGGGCCGCATGGTGGAGCGGCGGGGGAAACATCGGCAGGCTGCATGGGAGCTGCGGTAGAAGAGGTCGCAGCAACCGAGGGGATGGGAAGGAGGTAGGATGGGGATGGGTAAGGTGCAGGGCGAGGGAAGCAAGCCTGCATGAAGGAAGAGGTCGGCCACCTGTGAGGGTGGGGGAGGCTGAAGGCGTGAGAGGGCGAGGTCGGCCCGGAGCTGGGCAATCTCGTCCTCGAGACCTCGAACGTAGGTCGTGCAAGGGGTAGAAGGAGGAAGAGTGGGGGAAGCGGACGCACGAGTGGCGCGGGGCATCCCAGAGGGGGGAAAGCCAGGTGGCGCTGTGGTCGTGCGAAGGGAAGGGAGAAGCGGGGCATCTGCAAAAGTTGAGACCATGGTAGAGGGTTGTTGTACTGTGGCCGTAGTGACCGGGATCTGGGCACCCGTAGACTGAGGGAGGGCCTGACTCGTGACGGCCGTCTTGCTAAGAGCGTGGACACTCGCCAAGATGGCCGGGTCGGGGGCGGCGGAGGAGGAAGCTCCACCGTGGCCACGCTGTCAGAGGACGGGGGACCCGGATAGGGAGCCAGGAAATGAAGGGCAGAAAGCGTACTGGAGTTGCTGCATGCTGGCGGCAAGGGTCGCCACCTGCGCCTGTGAGGGCGCGAGGATCGCGAGTTGCGCCTGAATGGGTGCGAGGAGGGAGGTGATAAGGGTGTGCAGATCCCCCTGGGGCTGGTGGCCCTGGTCCGTCGGCACGCGTGTGGAGCCCTGTGCCGTGGTCATCGCCGCGTCGGCGACGTGCGTCACACCGTCGGCCATGGGGAGGTAACGGGCCGGACTGGAGGGGGCCAGGAGAGGTCCGCGTGAGCGGAGGGCGTAGGGGGGAGCCCGTGGTAGAAACCGGCGGACGGCGCTAGCAAGGCTAGCGTTGTGCCGTCAAAGGGGGAGAGGTGGTTCGGGTCCAGGGTACCCTAAGAGGAAGGGGAAGGTGGGGGGGTTTGAAGAACCCTAAACCCTAGAAAAACCCTAAAAAAACTCTAATTGGAGTTTGAGTGGTTAGGGTACAGTGCCGGGACCTAATTAAGAAAATGAAATAGCACGCATAGGGGGGGGAAAGGCGGCAGAAAAATAAATAAACATCAAGATTTCGAGAGAAAATAAAAATAAATAAGGAAATAAATAAATAATAAAAATAATCAAAAAAAATAAGTAAAAAGATGTGAAGAGAAAAAACAATATTTATTTTTTTTAAATTTCTGGCAGCATTTCCTTACCCCCCATGGGGTCAAGAATGTGCCAAGGGGAAAGGAGAGACCAAGGTGAGCACACTAGGTTTCAAGATGCTGCAAATAAAAAAAGAAATTTCAAAAAATAAAGCAAGAAATAATAAATAAATAAATAAATAAATAAATAAATAAATAAATAAATAAATAAATAAATAAATAAGTAAATAAGTGGATGAGGAGGGGGAGAGAAATGGAGTATCTGATGTTTCAAAAATTTTGGCAGCATTTCGTTACCCTCATGGGGTCGAAGTGTGCCGAAAAGACTAATAAGAGAAAATCAGAAAATTTCGGCAGCACTTCGTTACCCCCACCGGGTCAAAACGTGTGCCGAAAGCAAGAAAGACTAACACCTAATCAGATTTAGGGTTGCCGTAAAGAAAATCGGATTTTGAGAATAAAAAAAAAAAAAAAAAAAAAAAAAAAAAAAAAAAAAAAAAAGGAGGGGAAAAAAAAAATTGGAAATTTTTAAAAAAAAAAAAAAAAAAAAAAAAAAAAAATCAGAAAATGAGAAAAGAAGGTGGGGAAGAAGATAATTGGAATTTTTGAAAAAAAAAAGAAAAGATAAATCAAAAGAGAGATAGAAAGAAGAAAAAGAGAAAAAAATCGAAGTAGGGGGGAAGGGGAATGAAAAAGTGAGGGAGAAAAAAAAAAAATAGGTGGTAGAGAGAAAAAGATGGAAGTGGAAGGTGGGGGGATGATGTGGTGGTACTTGGAGGAGAGGAGGGATGGGGAAAGGTGGACAAAGATAAAAAAGCAAAGACAAAAGAAAGAGGAAAGAAAAGAAAATAAATAAAGAAAAGAGAGTAATAACATGGGTGGTGGGAGAAAAGGTGGGGTGGGGAGAGGGGTATGAGTAAGAGGAGAGAGTGATGGGTTAGTAGAGGGAGGGGAGAAAGAGAAGTGATACCTGGCCCTTGGTGTCTCCAAGGGCACAAGGTACACTAAAACCAGGAGGGTCTTGGCCTCCGCTGCAGCAACCAGCTGGAAGAAAGAGGGAGTTGAGATCTTGATCAGCCCCCAGCAAGAGCAGTTCTGCAGATGTGCAGATCTAGGGTCTGCTGTGTGAGCAGACCCTCACCACTGTAGAGCAGCCCCCTAAGAAGGGGGGTCTTGAGTTCCACCACGAGCTGCCACGTGGCAGCAGAGATGGCCACGTGCGCAGGCAGCAGCAGCCAGCGGCGGGGAGGGG